CCCCCCCCCCCCCTACCCGCGTGTACCCCACGCGATATGCCAGACGGCTCCGTCTCCCTCGCTCTCGGCGACTCGTCGTCGCCATCTCGCAAAACGCTTTGGCCGCGCTGTGCAGCGGGGGGAGAGAGGAGGGGGGGGGGAAGAACGCTTTTCAGCGGCATGATCGTCAAGCGGCGCGGCCGCGGTGGCTGCTTTCAGCTTGAAGCATAAATTAACCCCTTCCCCACGACACCCGCCGCCCGCCCCTGCCTCTCACAGTCCTCTTGAACACGGCCTGCCCAAGTCAGACGACACCCCCACCCCCCACCCACTCATCCATGCCATTCTGACAGCAACATGCCCGCTCTGCGCTGGATGGGGGACCTCAGATAAGGCGCGCAGGGGAGGCGGAGGGGTGTGACACATTTTACTGCCGCCGCGCACCAGAGATGTACTTCGAGAGACCATATTATGCAGCCTCGGTCCTGCCCCATAACCGCAACCCCCTCGTCTTGTGACATCCCCGCCACCCTAACCCCCGCGACCCCGACCTTGAAGGCGTCACAACGGTTAATGATTTTTTACGCCTCACCTCACCGGTCAGCTTTCCCCTGTCGCGCTGTCGTTTCATACATAATTTCGACGGCCCATTGCCCGAGTAAAGTTCCTGGGAGTGCCTGGCAATTTAGCGCCCGCAGCCAGTCGGCCGAGCCCGGGCCTTGCCCTTGGAGAATGGGTTCCGGAAGTGAGAGGAAGGAGGGGGAGGGGGTGGCAGGGGCGAGTCAATAAAACAGCAGCTAGTAGGGGGGCGGCGCAATGTTTTCAAATGCAGGTGAGGGGGTCGCGAGACTTTACGGGCTCTGTCGCTGCTTGTGGTGGCAGTCCCCTCCGCCCCCCCCCCTTCCCCAGGTTGTGACCCGCAAGTCCCCTAGTCCGGCGAGCCTCCTCACGACCTCGCGTTCTCGCTACGAGCCGCTCGAGAGTCTCTTATACGTTAATATCGTAGTGGGGTTCCTTGTTTCCACAACGCGCGACGCGGTCGCCGGGGCTCTAGTCTTACTTATCCAGCAATCTTGCTGAGTGTTCTGGAGCCGAGGACAAATCGCAGCGGTGCGCAGCAGGGAGGCGAGAGGCGAGAGAGGGCCGTGTGTTCCACCCTGACCTCTGCTGCATTATTGAGTCCCATGGCGTTCGTTCCGATCCACCCCCTCCCACTGCCCCGGCCAGCAGAGCGAGCAGGGCCATCCCAATCCCGATGAGAGGTTCCGGTTGGGGAGGGGGTGTGGGCGAGGTCGAGCAGGTGCGCGTCCAAAGTCCGACCCGGTCAAAACATTGAGGCCGGCCCCCCGTGAGGACGTACGCACCGTGCCGGCGGCGCCCACCCCCCGCCACCTCCCGCGCACCGCGGGCGCGGGCCGCGACGTGCACCAGGAGCCCCCGCGGCGCCCCTCCGCCCGCGAGCCCACGGGGACCCCACGGGGACCCCACGGGGACGCCCCGGGCCGCGCCGCCCACCAGCACCGCGCCGCGCACCCCCCGCTAATGTTGGACGCCGGTGGCTGGCCGCCAAATTAGAAATGAGTCTGATGTGCTGCTGGTCCGCGCTCATTACCGGGGGTGGGCGTCGTGAGCACGCCGGGGAGCCGTGGGCCGCCGCCGGCCGCCGGCCACGAGCCTTACCTGGCAGTCGCTTGGGCATGCTGAGGTACTCCTGGAGCCTCGAGGCCGTGGCCAGCCCCAAGGCTGGCATCGTCCTGGGGGCCGCTCTGCTTCACGAGCACCCACCCGGGCCCGGGCCTGCCGCAGCAGCGCGCCGCGCTCGTGCTCGCTCTCGCACCCAACGGCCGCGGCCCGCAAGGTTCATGGCACCAGGAAGGGCTGCTTCCACCGCCAGGGCCGCGGCGCTCTGCTCCACACCGCGCGCCAGCCCCGCCCGCTCGCTACTGGACTGGGGAGGGACTGGCGTGCCTGGCGGGCCGGGCGCCTGGAGTCGGAGCGGGGGGTCCGTGGGTCCGCGCGGCTGCAAAATTATCGAGCCCTAGATCCCAACATTGGCCTCATGCATTTCCCGTAGGCCGCCAAGTTAATTCTAATCCCCATAACATTATTTCGAATGAATCAAAATTTGCTTCCGCGGGTAAAAACTTTTATCTAGGTCCTAACGGTCCTAACTACCGATGTACTTACCAAGTGGCATCGCATTAAAACGATAAGCAGGGCAGAGTTGGGTGTGGTTTAATTGGCAATTAGCTTTTGCTGAACGTTGCCGTCGTTACTGTGGCCAGATTGACGATTGACAAGTTTTTGACGATTGTGTTTCACCAAGGTTGATAATAATAAAAGAAAATATCACCAGGTGGTCTTCCTACGAAAAGTTTCAATTATTAATCGGATCACTTTTAATCTGATCATTTCATATTTGACAAATCATTTACGAATTTCAGATGCGTCTGTGGTTACGAGAGACTGCAAAGGCACCGAGGCACTCCAGAAGTCAGGTGTGCGTGAAGCGAGGGGTACATCACTCCGATTCTGGGCGTACACCTACTTTTAGTCGATTTTTTTGGGCCGTGACTGTTTGACTTTTTTTGACTTTTTTTGTACTTTTATTTGACTTTTTTTTTACTTTTTGATCAAATTTATTTGACTTTTATGATTTTTTCGCTGCTATATTTTTAAAATAAGGGAGAGTTGTGATTTTTGGGCTAGTAATAAGGTTTTTCCAAGACTTTTTGGTACTATTTGTAGCATGAATCGAATAAGAAGAAAATTCGTCATCAGAGTACACCCCCTAAGTAAGAAAAGCAAGGTATTTTCAGTATTTACGTTTTTTGGTAAAGAAATCCCATGAATTCCGATTATTTTATTTTTCTCACTTCACCCACCACCCACCCCTCTCCCTCTTTAA